ATTTACATTGTGTTTTAAGTTTCAAAGACATGTTCTCAAAGTAAACAGATGTGCCCCTCTCCCCCTTTTCCTTTTGCTAGCATGGACACCAATGTTGGTGAGATTTCTTGAACTTCAAGGTCATGAGCCATACCTTAAAAGCAGCAAAAAAATAAGAAAGAAAAGGCTGTGTCTGTCATACTAAGATCATTCTAACTTTGAATACCTCATGCCACAAGTGTTAAATGAAAGACAGAAGGGGAAATAAACTGTTCAGTGTATCCTATCTGCTCACCTGAGAGCAAAATCTTTGTTTCTTAGCTTAATGTATTATGAGCGCACAAAATGTGTTCAAAAATTCGCCTGGAATGACCACTCGTTTAATTCTAGATCCTTTCCTATTTTCCACCATTTCTTTAGACACTGAATTCTGAAAAAAATAGTTCAGACTTTTTGTATTTAATCCCAAACACATGCACATGCTCAGTCATACCCATTTATTTTTATGTAGATATGCATACCAATATGTGGATTTGCTTCATAGCTTACATTTATTCATTCAGTCAGTCTGAAAGTACATTGAAGGCACTATGCTAGACCTTAGAGATACAATGACAAAAAACAACGAAATAATTCCTAACCTCAGGTAGGGTACAGTCTGTTTCAGGAGATAAGTAGCTAAACAATTACAGCACATTATATATTATATTATGGAAATATGCCAAGTGCTGTCTGATCACATAGGAAGGATTTATCCCAAAGTTGAAATAACCTTTCAACCTCACAGCTTGAGGCTCCAGAGTCCAGAATATCTGTGTGTACATATTTGGATGCACTTTCATATTCATAATGGTTACAAATAAATTTTAGTCTGTACTTATGACATTTTTTACATTTACTGATCTATAACTATTGTGCGTATGCTAAATTAGTTTGTGTAACATTACTGTATAGGTTTTCTTCTTAATTTCAAGTAAGTAAATCTTTTAGTATGATTTTGCTTATGTGTGTGAGGTAATATTAAAAACAACTTGGCTAAATTTTTAAAGTTATGACTTTTTCTAAAATATACCCAAGTCAATTATAGGTATGTGCTTTGGGGGAAGTAAGCAAATTGAATAAACCAGTTGCATGGTAATTAAGCCCTACATTTGATTTCTTTAATTTTCCTTTTTATAACATATTATTTGAAAATGATATAGACCGCAATATTATAACACCTTCAGACATTGCAGTAGGGTTCATTTTTAAGGAACAGCGAACTGCTGAATGATGTGAGTTTTCCATTTAATTATACTAGCCACATTCTCAGATTTGTGAATTTGCCTTGAGTTTCAGTCATTTGTAGATATTTGTTTATTATTTAATTCCCAAATGTTACTTGCCTTATATTAATTCATTACTTTAATAAATGTTACACAGTTTTTTTGATTATCTAGCAAACCCAGTTCTAAAGAATAAAATTTTTAAATCCAGAAGAAGGAAAATAATGGATATTTGACTAATAACATGGGAAGTTATTTAAAAATTCACATCTTAAAATTAAGGAACTGAGCTTCAGATTTAATGTTAACATGTGTACAGCACACAAGTTGTCATTCTCTCCTTACAATAAGATACAGCTGGATAAACTGAAAACTAAAAACATTCATTGCATTTGTAACAGAATTGAGGTGACAGGCAAACTGCCTTCCCAAACTGTGGAGAGAGAGTCATATTCAGAAGGACACGATCCATATAAGATCTCTTTTACCTTCATAATTGAACAGGTCTTCAACCTTCTCATCCTTTTTCTCTAGTGTCATCTCTCCTCTTGAAATCTTTATTTTCTGACATTCCACCTTGCAGTCTTCTTTCTGTTTCTTCTAAATAATCCGTATTCCTGGGATTCTGTGTATACTATTTCCCACACTATTATTATCTTCACTTCTTTGTTGAGCCTTTAACCTTTCCCCTTATTTATTTACGGATGCTTTACCCAGTCTTCCAGTCTAAGTAGATTAACCTATTATGAAGTTTTCACAGACCTTGCCCAATTGTGATGTTAGGTAACTTTGTATTCTTTCTTTTTAGTCTCTCAGAAAATGTATCTGACTTTGCTGATATTCAATTTACATCTCCACCATACCCAGGACAAAGTATTACATTGTTCAAGTTTGCTTCACAAATAAAGAACAGGTTTCTTGCAATTGTACTATAAATAAGTGCTTATTCATTATAGATTGTTAGCAGAGTACTATCAAATAATACCTATTAATTCAAAAAGTATTTAATAGCTCCTACCTTCTACTAAGCAACATTTTAGATTTTGGAGAGAAGACATATAGGCTCAAATTAATGTAGTTTATTGGAGTATACAACTATGCAAGCCAATAGACAATTTGAAAAAGACTGGACATCATAGAGGTATGTGCGTCTGAGTCATGAGTACCATCAGGGGAAAAGTCCCACAAACTATAAAAAACTGAGCTGTGTATATGGCAAAGTTAAAAGACTCTGTACTCCTAAGGGAAGATGTCTTTACTATTATGTAATTGATTGTGTGATATACAATGCCTATAAAATGATATTCAGCAGGCACTAAATAATTTATTAAGTGAAGGAATAGCAGTTTGCTAAGTAAAAAAGGAGGGGAATGAATGATAGAGGAATGTACAGTTACCCAGGCTGATGAAATATTCATGTCTGCATTTCAACATGGGATATGAAAATGACATCATTTACATTGTGGAGTCTTTCACTGAAACAAAGCCTTCTGGAGAAACAGGATTGGGGGAGAGGAGTAGGAGTTTTAGATATACTATACCTATGACACAACTCAGATAAACAAAAAACCATTTCTCATTCGCTCAACAGTGTGGGCCACACCATGCATAGCCTCTTTGATATTTTCTGCTGGATCATGAATCTTCTATGATCTCACAATTTTTAAATTAGCAGAATATTTGTTTACTAGTTTCATAATGAAGACTGTAATCAAAATTATTCTTAACACATAGAAGTTTCAAAGTTTTTATCATTCAAATGTAGGATACTTATGGGCCAAAATTTCAACTTTTTGCCGTGCACTGAGACTGTAAAATGTTTTTTGAAAGGAGTTGAATATTGCTCTGTCCATTGTACTGAAAAGAAAACAAACAAATACACTGTTATCAGAATATCTTTTGTTTCTGCCATTTCTACCTGTAACCAGCAGGTGGTATCAAACAATTTTACGTTTGCTGTATTGCAGCTTTTGTGTCTGATTTCTGAGACTTCTCTGCTAACTTGTATTCCACACTTTAATCACTTGCTCTCATACACACAGCACTTGCTAAAATAAAGGCATACAAGAGAATTTCATTTTATCTTCTTTGTTTACACTTGTCTTGCTTTACTTTCAACTTTGCATTTTTTTCTCACTTTTTGAATTTTTTTATAGTAGAAGCACAGCTTTATATGTCATAATTCATTTGTTCCTAATAAAAACACTGTTGGAAAGTACTATGTTTAATCTCCACTTTGCAAATGAAAAAAAAATGGTAACAAAAAGAGACCAGGAAAATTCCTTAAGGTCACAAAACTGGAACTCAGACACCTGGCCCTGAAAGCCACAGTGCCAGTCTCAAAACACCTTCTTAGGCTAAGCTTTTCAGATTGTTGCCTACAAGCAGAATTTGTTTGTTTAAATATGTTTTTAAATAATTATTAAGCATGATTAAATAAATTCATTATTTAAATAATGATTCAGGTGAACCTGTGTTTTTCTACCTTTTATTTCTATACCACCATCATAGTCCAAGATATAGTCACTCATGGTCAAATAGAATTGTAAATATTTTGAATTCCTAATTATATTTCAGATGAGTAAAAAGCTGCCTTTTACTAAGGGAAAGTAAAAAAAAAGTATAAAAAATACATAAATATGAATGAACATTAATATTTTCATTGTTTAAGGCATCTCCTATATACTTAATTAAGCTTTTATTAAATTTTTAATCAAATATATGATTGTAGTCATGTTGAATCCTGATAGTGCAACTTATGCCTTGGGTTAGGGCCTTTTTTTTTAACAATTGTGATTTCTTCGACTACTCACAGAAATGCTAGACAATGGGGGCTGAGGATGTAGCTCAGTGGCACCGTGCCTGCCTGGCAAGCGCCAAGTCCTGAGTTCAGTTCCTGGTAGCAGAAAAAAATAAAGTATAATATTAAAATCAGGGAAAAAATGCTATGCAATGAAAGAAACTAGATTATTTCCTTTATGTTATAAGTTATAAAATATTCTTTAAAAAGTAAGATATTGACATTTTGAAAGTTTTATGTTAGTGGACTGTTTTATTTCTTATAAATTTTAAGCCATGGTATGAAAGAATATCCTCATAGTGCTGAACAACCCAGAATTAAATTTCATACTTATATAGCCACATTTGAATTAAGAAATTCTTAATCACATTTCCACTATAATTTCTGGTGTGGGTGGTTGGTCCATTGCTTAGGATGACTCAAACAAATGATGAACACATTAATTTAAGGCTTTGTGTAGAATTTTTAACAATTAACATGATTGAACAATGGGCCAATTTAAAGTGCTTTTCTTCATAGTTAGTTCTACTTCAGTATCATCAGTCTTTTTAACTTAAACAGTACTTAAAAAGAGAAAAGTGATTCATATAGAACAAAAAATGAAATCTGAAGGCACTTTCAGAGTCATTACTAAAAAAATATAATAACAATTTAAGACAATTAATTTGTGCTCTTTTCTTCCATTTTTTAAATAGAAAGGGCACTGAATGTAGATTTGAATGAAGGGAAGAAGGAAGGGAGGGAGGGAGTAAGGAAGGAGAAAGGACAGGAAGAAAAGACAGGGAGGGGAAGGAAGGAGAGAAGAGGAGAAAGCAAGGGATGGAGCAAAGGAGGGAAGGAAATGAAAAGAAAAAGAATGGAGAAGAGAAGAAGAGAAAATAAAATAATTATTGTCAGTTATGTCCTGCTGTACCTGCTGATGTTTTTATTTCCTTCTTTTTTTTTTTTTTTTCCAGGAGTAACTACTGTTCTAACAATGACAACCCTAAGCATCAGTGCTCGGAATTCGCTCCCTAAAGTGGCTTATGCCACTGCCATGGACTGGTTTATTGCTGTTTGCTATGCATTTGTGTTCTCTGCCCTAATTGAATTTGCAACTGTGAATTACTTCACTAAAAGAGGCTGGGCTTGGGATGGGAAAAGTGTAGTAAATGACAAGGTAAGTGAAAATACCCTTCTCATCTTAATTAACAAAATCCCCTAATACATTCAACTTGTAGCAGATATGTTGCTAGAATTTGACTTTATGAAAATTCACATATGTATATATGAACATATATCATATTAATTTTTCAAAGTGTGTTCTTACCTGAAATCCTTTAGGAGTCCTATAGTAGCAATACTTGCTAAAACCACTTTTCAAAGTCTGTTGTGCTTAACGTGTCAGGCACTCTGCTAAGTTTTACATATGTGTGCTCCTTCCAAAAGTCTTTACAGCAATCTTGTAACTAGGGTCTCTTCTTACTCTCAATTTTTACTGAAGAAGAATCTGTAGCTTAGTAAAGTTATTTACATGCTCAAGCTCACTCAACTGGTTGGTGAGTATACTGACCACTGACTTTACATTCTTAAACCATCAAGCTGGATTATGATAGATTGTGAAAAGAAAGTGGGCATCAACTTCACCTGCTACAGAATACTAGACTCCATCAATGGTCGAGTGACCTTCACCTATCCCCACTTCTGCTGCTTGGTTATAAAAGCCCAGATAGAATTTTTATATGCAATAAATATGTAGATACTGGAATACCTAGGAATTTTAAATTATTCAGATAGTCTAAATAGAAAAAGTTACTAAAATTTTTGATATCCTGTTTTAGATTTCAGGTCCTGATGCTAGTGAGAGCTTTGTGTATTGACATACCAGCAGTTGCCTTTCTTATTCTCCAAATTACTGTCTTCCTTCAGAGAAGGCTTTGCATATATCATAATGAGATATAAAATATTTTTAATAATAGTACAAACTTCTACTTAGATATTTTCTCCACTTAAATTTTTCTTCATTACATTAAGAGTAACTTGCTGATTGGATTACTTTTTTAGTTAATTAAATATAATTTTTCACTTTTATGACCATTCAGTGAAGCACAAAACAATGAATACTACAGTTTGAAGATGTTCTTCTTTTTCCTTAAGTTCATAAACTATGGAAGAGTTAATGAGAGTGCTAGTTTATTTCATTTTAAGTTGTATCTTGCCTACAAACTGAGACAATGAATAAACATCAGAAGGAATCTGATCAATTTTATGTGCTTAACTTCTAGGCTATTTCAGCATTTTCATGCCATTTTATGACTGATTTATATTTGTAATTTCCCAGATAGTGCACAAATTTTCATTGTATCTATACAATTATTTTTAAAGCTACATTGGTTACTCATGCATTTTCATACTAATATTTTTGAAGTGTAACAAAAGATAAACTATATCATTTTGTGGTATAAATGTCCATATAAAAGTTTATTTGATATATAATTTTTCAGGGCTGGGTGGTACCAATTAAATTGACATTGTGATTTGGGCTATCAAATGATATTCCATTGCAACCCTTGAATTTGGCAATAGAAATATCTATGAATGCAAAAACCAACTTCTTAATAATATGTGTTAAAAAATAACTTAGTCCTGAGAAATACATATATATAAGTCTTCCCATGGATGAAATCACAAGTTGCTAAGGTAAATCTGTCAAAATCACTGAAGCTCTAATCTAACTTTCAGGAAGCACCTAACATTGTTTATGTTATTTTAGTTCCATTGTTGAGATAAAGAGAACATCATATCAGTAATGATGCCTGTTTTCATTAACTTTTCTGTAGCTAAAGTGACTAAGCTCAGAACCTAGAATAAATTTATTCTAAAAATAAACAAGACCTTAGAACTGAAAGGAATCAAGGAGAGTGCCATAAATTAGCCTATGTGCTTAAAGGATATTTCATGCTATCTGGTACTTCCATTTATTTTCTCTTAGGCTTAGTGAAAATAATGATTTTCCTGAAATACAGAATTTTTCCTGATGGGGGCATTTTGGTGTCCTTTCATACCATTCTTTCTGGAGGAAGCCCTTTGCTTTTGGTGTTAGCAGACAAGAGTTCTGTAGACACAGTTGAGTTATCTGTCAATACAGAGTATATGATATTTGTTTAAACATTCATAAAATACAAGCCAGGGATGTAGCTCAGTGGTTTAGCGTCTGATTGGCAAGCACAAAGCCCTCAGTTCGATTCCCCATACAAAGAAAATCATAAAATACTAAGTTTAATTTCCATCACAAGAATAATAACTCAGATGCATATTTACATTGCATGTTTGGCAATTAGAAAAAAGTATTCAACATGTTTCCAAATGGTTTGCACAATCTACAGTTTATGTGTAGATTGTACTTTGGTGATATTTAAAGTTAGATTTTATAAATAAATTTTTAAATCCACTCATTTATACTCAAGCTATTTTTGAGCCCTATATTAGAAGACAAAGTTACCTTGCTTTCTGACCTTGGACAGAAATTTATTCTTAGTCTCAAATGTGAAATTGAGCAACCAGATTAACATTCTAAAAATGAAGCTCTGGATCAAATGATACAACTCCAAGCTTTTAATACCCTTCCCCATAAAAAAGTAATTGTTTACACAACCTGCAAGTTCTTCTGGAACTTTCCTTCATTCTCAGTGTTCCTTTTCTTGCCCAAGACTATTTGTTCCCTCCTAGCTCTAAATTCTGTTCTTGTTTTGGCTTTTTAAAAATTGTTTCATCAGATATTACTTTCTTCTCTTATATCTTCAAAGCCGTCTTTTCCTTTTAAACTGCCTCCTTCCTGTTAACCTATGAAGATTCTTAATATGCTTAATTTACCACAAAGGCAAAATTACTTCCCAGATTCTGTCATTTCCTTCTCCCATCCTCAGATTCCTTTTGTCCATTCAACCATTTTGCAAGAATTGGTTTTTCTTTGGTACCAGGGATCGAACTCAGGTCCTTGCTCTTGCGCAATTGCAAGAATTGTTTACAGTGCTATCTTCTCACTTCTCAGCCCACTATCTGATTTTCTTTCCATTTACTGTCCTGTATTTGAAGTGAAGCAATAACCTCCCTAGTTTAAGCCCAGATAATGATTTTCCATTTTTCTTAAAGGGTCCTCACTTAACCTTTTATCTGTTATGCTCCGGGGCCTTACTTAAGATTCAGGTCAACCTCTTTTTCTCATTTCTTTAAAACAGGCCTTAGCATATGAGCTTCCTTCCCTCACATCCTAACAAGTGCCAAAATTCATTCTATGCTTGAGATTCTCTGCCAGAGTTCAGAGTTGATTCAGCTTCTCTAGCATATGTTCCTGTTTATCTCCAAAGACAGTCATTTCAATTTTCCTTGATGCTGTTTTTGTTTTTATTATTTACTCTGTGGTTCTCAATTTAAATGATTTACTGACAATATTAGCAAGATCTACAACACTAAACACATGGTTCAATCATTTACCATCCACACCCAGATAATCGCTACTGATTCTCAGTACAAATATCAATTCCTTGGAAAATTTCTGAACACTAGGTCTGCCTAAATTATTAGATACCCATTATAAACAAGTAGAGTGGCCTACCCTACTCTTTTGCAATAAATTTTGTAGTCTGTAATTGCATGTTTGTGTCTTAACTCCTTTACTGATCATGAAAATGATAAGCATGGTTGTTTTAATACATCATTGACCATGGCCATTTACACAGTGACTTGCATATATTAAGTACTCTGTAAACATGATATGAGTCAATGAAGTATTACCAAATCAAACTCTATAACCCACATTTTTAATATCCACGATCATCCATAGCTAGACACACACTTTCTTGTAATTTTTAGGATCATATATCTAACCTATTCTTTAGACATTTCCACCTGACTGCATCTTAATCGTTACAAATCTTTTAAAAGAAAGGACAAAAGAAATAACAGATAAACAAAATACAATCTTTTCAATTGATTGTATGCCTTCCCTTTACCTATGCCTAAAAACTAATCAGCAATTGATGTTTGAGTGAGGAGCACAGTATAATCTCCTGTAACACCAATTTGGAAGTATTTTTCAACATCTAACATTAAGTCTTACCCAGTCTCCTTTCTACAAGCCTCACATCAGTTCCTCACCATATCGTGTTTATTTTATAATTTATTTACTGCTTCTTATCTCTAATCATGTCTTCTTCTAATTCATCTTCCATATTATTCCCAGAGTTAACCTTTTAAAATACGAATCAGATCATGTAGGTCTTAGCTCTTCAGTGAATTATTGAAGGCAATTTTTTAACGAGCAAAGATAATATGGTCCAAAAAGTTTTCTCATGTACTTGCTTAAAGAATGAATAATGAAGGACTCATTTTAAAAGTTCATTATGCACTTACCTCCATGTGCCTGGGAATATCGGTAGTTTAGAGATTAGGAATGACCAGTAAAGTAACTTGGTCAGAATGGTATAATAAGTGGTATATCCTTAGGTTGAAGACACCCAAAATTAAGCATATATTTTTTTGCTAAACACTGAAAGCAAGAATTATTTCCCCAAATACTCATAACTCTTCATGTTTCCATAATGTTAGACATGCTGACTTTGATTGTACTAATATTTTCTTTTCTTTCTTAAATGACGAACTCCTACTTATACCTTAATATCTATGTGATCTTATTTAAGGTCAACAATTTCAAGAGTAACATAATTGACTCCCATACTGTGTTTTCACAGCACTGGGCACAAATTTATTTTAGCCATCTCATTAAATTATACTTTATTGAAAATAACTTTTTGACTAAGTTACAATCCCTAAAAGAATAATAGTTTTGTCATATTAATCATTGTCTGCTGTTACCTAGCAATGCATCTGACACATAGCTTATTTGAATTGTAGTTGAAATTTTCATTTTTAATTTGCCTCAATTCCTTTATAAATCTGAGACAGAAATATAAACTGGCTGAGGAAAGCATAGAACAACCCAGTTAACAAAGTATTTAAAAACCAGACCCAGCAACACATAGCCAAACTGTTGTGGAATGTGCCATTCTTTTTTTTTGTTTTTGTGGCACTGGGGATCGAACTTGTGTCCTTGCGCTTGAGGAGCAGGCTGTGAAACCACTGAGCTAAATCCCCGGCCCAAATCTGCCATTGTTTCATGAGTCACTTTACTTTATAGACAACATCCATTTTCAATTTTATATATTCACTTATTTTCATTTTAAATATCCTACCACATTCCAAAAGAATTTTAGGCAGTTTACCAAAGAATGCATGAACATAAAGTCTAATTAAATAACATAGAAATAGGATATCATTATGAAGGAAATAGACTCAAATATGTTCACCACTTTGCTCACACATTCACTGCAGTCCAAAGCTATAGTAGTTGAGCTTCAAATTATAAGCTATTTGGTGACTAACGTAACACATGGGGAGGTGGGAAGTTATTTTTCTTTAAAAATAACTTAAATTTTCTGAGCAAAGCTTTTCTTGTACTGAAATTGCTTTTTTAAATCAAAGTACCATGTGAATTTTATAATAGGGAAATCTGGGTGCTGTGGCAAATGATGTCAAATTTTTCCCAATAAAAGCAGTAATGAATTTCATATTGATGTTTCTTGTAGTCCCCTTCAATAAAAGCTGAAGGCATTATATTAACATACAACTCAGTGAAGGCAATTCTTCAAGGAGCTAAACTAATATGGTTCAAGTATATAGCTTTCTCATGGCCCAATTTAACCCAAGGAAAGACTTTAGAGTACTTAGAGAAGTGGATGGACTGTTTAATCTTCAAACGATCTTCTGTAAGTATCACTTTTCTTAGTCAGGATGGTTAGCAGAAAATTAACAGTAGCATTACCCTGATAGGAAGCATGTTGTTGTTTTACAAGCAATGGGCTTTCTAGTAGCCACAATGATTGTAAAAAGGCAACATAATATGATAGAAAAAGCATAAGTTTGCACTTTGGAGATCTGGGGTTTTTTCCAAAGTCTGTTATATTCAGTGTTTGATATAAGATCCTTATTTCCTTATGGTAAGGGACAATCTCTGAGATCTTCTCCAACTCTGAAGCTATGTGACTGTTATTTTTATTCACCTGACAATTCAAATCACTAGTAGATGTCTTTATTTTAGCTAGAACATTTGTTCAAGTAGTAAGCACTTTATTTTATCTCCCAATCAAAGGAAGCCAGGTTTGGTTTCTCACAATTGTGTATGACATTTTGACTTCTATAATCTGTTTTCCAAACATAACATTTTAAGTGTATATTGAGTGACTCTAATAATATAATAAATATTACAAAATATCATTTAAAAACTTGAAAAGTAATTAGTATGGATATAGTCTCTTTTCATTCTACTTCACTGACAATTGAACTGTCAACAAATTGTATAACAGCATAGATTACTCCCCCCCAATACTGTTTTAAAAAATACATCATTTATTGATTTTGTTTATAATCCCTTCCTTACTCCTTTTTTACTTATATGGGCCCCAGTCACAAGGAAAATAACTTTCATGGCATTGTTTTTAAGTTGAGTTTATTTTATTAGTTTCCAGTCTTTCACATCTCTAGATGGTGGAATTGAGGTTTCAGGGGACAATTACATAGTAGAATTGCAGGGCAAGCTATTGAATTCTGTTTCTATCAGTCTGACAGCATATTTATCCTATTCTCTGAAACATATTATCTTATGTTACCTTTTATATTTTATATATACAATTTCTTACCATAGTAACCATTGTAGTAATTGTAATTCTTTTATCATTATGCAATTGTTTTTTGGGTCTACTTTTTGCCAGCACCTGTGCAAGGAGTTCCACAGGACATAGTTTGTGTCTTCAGTGAACTTATATTAAGCGAAAGGAGAGAAAAGGGGGGAAAAATGTGTGTCTGTGCTATAGAGTCAAGAGCCAGAGCACTGTGGAAGGATGTGGAAGGTCTGGCTACTTCATGTGCACAACAGGAAATGAGATCTCAATAGAAGTGACCCAATACTAGTCTGCTAATGGCAAAAAAGTAAAATGTATCTGACTCAAGGACCAATGTGAAATTAACTTCCAGCTCCTGGCTAAATTGTGGTATCATTTATGGGTTAGAAACTACAGGAGGGTGTAAATATTTGGGCAGGAAGTAAGTGAGCATTTAAATTGAGTGTATTTCTCAAAAGTTTATATGTTCATTACCCCAGGGACATATAGGTACTCAAATTTGAAACACAGTTAATAATTTTGGAGAAATATTTTATTGGTTATCTATTTATAGGTATATAAAACTGTGAATTGCTTTAAATTAATAAAAATAATTATCAATTTGCCTTTTTTCTCCATGTTCATAGCATTCTTAACTTTTAATGTTACTTTTAAAATTTATACTTTAGGAACTCAATGTGTTTTTTTGTTTTTCTTTTTCTGCCATAGCTGATCTTTTACTCTGAGTGATAGAAGATAGTTGTTTCAAAACACCTATAACATTAGGTTAAAATATACTGTAGTAAATTAGGTAGTAAGAACTATTAGAACTTTTGTATTTCTTAAGAGAAACAAAAATTATAGAAGACCATTAAAAATTACCTCATGATAGTAAGTGCTCTTTTGAATAGTTGAGATAATAGGATTCATTGGACTATTTCTCTTAGTGGATTTGAGTACAAAGCATAGGCTACACTAAATAAAATAAAAATAGTTTAGAGAGATCAAAGTCATGTGGCTTATGTATTTAGCATGCTGATGATCTTACTTAAATCAAGGCTCACATTATATTCAAATTGCTTTCTACAATAACATTGAGAACTCTCAGCATAGTTCTTTTGAAAGTCACTAGTGACTAGAACAAGGTAGTAGCTCCTGGAAATGGCTTAATTATTTGGCAGTATCACTATTACTATGACTTATAAAACCATAGAAAGCAATAACTAACAAATCAGTGTCAGGACTTATAAAGAATACTAATAAATACATTATGAATACTTAATCTGACACTGTGCTTTAGAAAATCTTGGAATTGTAAGTCAGCTATGAATATACAAAAGCATTTTTGCTCTGCATACATTTAGCTTTACAAAAAGAACACAGTTTGCTTTACACCAGATCCGTGGTTGTTATTTTCAAGTATACTGAGGGGAATAGTTTTTGCTTTAAAACAAGATTTTGTTAGAATGTCAGACAGAAAACTTTGCTGCCTGTTGTCTACAAAGTCAGGAAATGTGGCATCATATGGATGCTCTCCTTCATTCAGTGAATTAGTAAGAAATTACAGGTGCCAACATTGCGTTATTGACTGCAGATGCAACATATGGCTCCTGCACTTTGATTGCTACTTGTCCTCAAAATGGTAAAGTTTCCAAGTTCTAGCAAGCATTCTGAAGCCAAACTTTGTTTAATGTTGAGCATTTATCTGAAGTTTACAGTTATATTCAGTTATTGAAGACATATTTTTAAAAATGAACAAAATAAGATGAATTTTATCTTTACAGCTAAACCAACAAAACTTACAAATATATATTGAAAATTATTTTTAATACTGCTTCTTATAGAAGCTACAGCATTAGATGAGACATAACTCACTAGCCTACCAATATGTGGCACTGATATTTGGCTTGTATCAGTTGATGAAACCCTTCTGGTTATTTAGCACCGGTGTCCTTCCTGGTCAGTCAGAATATCTGATTGGTCAGTTACTCTAGTCTACACTTTCATAAACACGTTTATTATCACCTTAACATATAGACATCATTGAAGGGTACTCTTGGGGGATACAGGCAGGATGTTGGTAAAAATTAGCCTACAGTTTGTATCTGTAGACTCTTCTTGCAACAACAGATACTTGTATTTCATGATTCTTTGTCTAAATCCTATACCATGACTTGATCCAATTTAAATATCCTACTTCCAAAAAACCTTCCTTGAGTTTTTTTATTCAATGGTATTGACTTCTTCCAAATGCATAAAAGATTGCTTTTTTTGAATATTTACCTAGTGATATAAACTTTTATTGAATATTTTACACAAAAACATACTCCTAAATCTCAAATAACTTACTGTGACAAAAGTTGTGTAAAACAACTAAAACTTAGATCTGAAACTGAGACATTTAATACAGTGATTTTTCAGTCGTTTAGTAGTCAGGAGAACTGGTCAGGATTCAAATCTTTATTACCCTCCATTTCTGAACCTATACCTGAAGTTAAAATGAAACTTACTTCCTCTTCTATGGTGAGATTGAGATGGAACCCTTAGCTGAACTCTCCACCTGACACATCTAAATTCTAGAAAACTCTGTCTTTTTAAAATCAGATACACATTTACCCTCCATTTGTCACAGGAGAACTATATCCTAATCATGAAGGAAATATATTATATAGTTTTACAAAGTAATAAATGGTAGTCCCACATCCCCTTTTCCTTTGCATTGCAGCCAGATCTGGAAGCAGGGAAAGTAAGAAAGGAACAAACTTTTTTCAATAAAAGATAGGAGATTCAGACCTGTTTTTAGATCCTCCTGAACTTTTAGAGATCCTTTCTTTGTTGTTTGAACATTTTGAGTATTCTTTTTTTTTCCTTAAATTTTTTTATTGGTACATTTTAGGTATACAGTACGTTTACATTTATCATTGGGTGTTTGTACCTGTGTATGATATATCTTGGTTCTTATTTTTTCCCCATTACCTAAAGGGTGGAGGGGGTGAAGGGTGCACATTTTCAGTATTCTTAATTAAAATAACTAGTGCAAGCAGTTCTGTCCTAAGTTGTACTATAAATCTTTGGCTTTACACTAATCACTATTTTGGGTAGTTCATTGCTGGCTTAATTTTCTTTGGATTTAGATAACTCACCATATACTCATATTAGGTAGAGACTGATAAGTACTATTTATATTAGCAGGTTTTATTAAATCATCTAACTATTTTGTATCTGCTTTGTGGAAGGGTTCATGCTAATTGTTAAGGCGGAAGCAGCATAAGCCTTCAATAAGCTAAAGATCCTAATGAGGAAGAAGATATCAATGAAATAATTACATAACTAAGAAGGAATTTACACAACTGCAAAAAATACCACAGTGGAAACAAGTTTGGATGGTTTAAAGAGCAGAGAAGGGTAACAAAGACTTGTAATGATCAGGGAAGGCTTTTCTGAATAAATCAGACTTAAATCAGACTAAAATATGAGAGTAAGAGGTCACGTAAAAAATGAAATAGGAAGAAAGTATTCTAGGTTGGGAACCAACATGGCAAGGACATGCATGAAAGGATAGAAATATTCAGAAAACTAAAATTATTTCAGTGGAACTTGAACATAATGAAAAAAGAGAAGTCAATGGTAGAAAAAGTTTTTATTATGAGTTTCTTGAGATACTATTTAAAAGATTTTAAGAGTACAAGTGATATGATATAATGTATGTATTAAAGAGATCCCTGTAGGTCTAGTATGTCTAATGACTGGACATGTTCAAGCCAAACAGGAAGAGCCCAAAAATAATTCTTTGGTCCAGAAAATAAATAATGATGACCCAGGCAGAAGCTGTTGGCAACTGAACTGGAGATTATAAAATGAAACAAATTGGGAATAACTTAGACACAACCCAGGGAGTTGGTATTTCATTGCCCTTATATGCTTTTAGTATTTTTCACTCTGTCATTTGCATAAAGCTATAATTTCTTACCATCTAAGCAAAGCATTACTGTACAGTTTTGATTATAAGGTGAAGAAGAATCCTACTATCAAGTAGAAATTTGGGGTCATTCATCATAGATGATCATTCTACTTGTTAAAAAATTTCTACATTTCATGTATTTGTTCACTCATTAAGTCAACAAATATTTAAGTGAGCACAAGAATAAAAATAGTTGTATTGTTTATTGAAATTGTACTTTCTGTTATTTTCTATGTTAATTACAGCAAAAAATGATTCTCCAGGAAAATAGTACCATTGGTTTTGCTCTGGGAATTTCCTCACCTTAATGGTTTTAGGATTTAATAATGTCATATTTATTTTCCTAAATTTCTTTTTTATAGTGGATAGTTGTGAGTATCAGTGTACATTTTTTTCAGAATTTAAACAGGAGTTTAGAAGATGTTGAATAGCAGGCTCAAACCACACTCTATTAATTCTTCTGTTTTTTAATAGAAAAAAGAGAAAGCGTCTGTCATGATACAGAACAATGCTTATGCGGTGGCTGTTGCCAATTATGCCCCGAATCTTTCAAAAGACCCAGTTCTCTCCACTATCTCCAAGAGTGCGACCACAGCAGAACCCAATAAGAAGCCAGAAAACAAGCCAGCTGAAGCCAAGAAAACCTTCAACAGTGTTAGCAAAATTGACAGAATGTCCAGAATAGTTTTCCCAGTTTTGTTTGGTACATTTAATTTAGTTTACTGGGCTACGTATTTAAACAGGGAGCCTGTATTAGGGGTCAGTCCTTGAATCTAGACACAGGTTATCTTTGGAATATACAGCAACTTTAAACTTGGTTTGTTTTGCTATGTACAGTCTAATAACTGCTAATTTGTCAGTCAATATGTGCAGTATGTATATAGAGGTATAGCTTACCAGTAGACCTTTAACAGAGATACGCATTTGCTAACTTATGGAAATATGGGCAGAAGAACCGCAAGCTAAAAGAGCCATTGCCTTTTTAAAAGATTTACCCTGGGACACGGTTTGTAGTGGATTTCAGATGACTGATTTATTTCCTATTCTTCTAATAATGATGAAAATTGGGATCCTAAGTTATTATTTTTGGAACATTTTAATTTAAGAGTATTTTTTACTGTTGCCTAATTATAATAGAAGATAATGTCACTTGAGATAAATTCTTAGCAGAACTTCATATCTGCAGCATCACTTCCCTTCCTGAGTGCTCAGAATCCTTGTTACTATAATTGGAAGCTTGACATACATAAAAAGAAAAACTAGAGATTTGAAATCAGCTTTTAATTACTCTGTATATTATCTATAGCCATGTACATATTACAGCATGACAAGCTCAAATAATTATGAGTCACCCTGACAGGATGTTAATTATGCCTACAATTTAACAACTACTGGAATATCATGGTCAGTATATTTTTAGCTTCAGAATTCGTTTGAAAGTAATAATTGAAATCCTATGACAGTTCATTCACTCAAACTACCTTAAATTTAAAAAAAAAAATAAATGTGTCTTACTCATTCCAGGTATGTGTTGTATTGAAATTTATCAGTTAATTTCTTTCTTTCTTTCCCCCTTCCTTTCTTTCCTCTCTCTTCTCTCTCCCTCCCCCCCTTTCATGTTTCCTTTTTTTCTCTTTCTTTTTCTTTCTTTCTTTCTTTCTTTCTTTCTTTCTTTCTTTCTTTCTTTCTTCCTTCCTTCCTTCCTTCCTTCCTTCCTTCCTTTCTTTTCTTTTTGGTGCTGGAGACTGGAAAAATTATCCAGTTAGGCTTCCTTGGAGCAACATTCGTATTGGATTAGAAAATTGTGCCAAAAACTCCAATTGATGAGAATTAATAGGTGTACAAGACTATAGATAAGCACTTATATGATTCTCTTCTTTCCTGTTTACTGCAAATTCTGCCTTAAGGCTTCTTTTCATCAGGACTCAGGAGCCACTAATTATAAAGGAAAGGGCAGTTAGTTGGCACATTTTTCTGACTTGAAAGCAGCTCTTTCAGATAAGAATTAATATGTATCTGCTTTTGTAAACTGGTACTTTAAATTTCACTGACTCAAATTTACAACGGGTTTGTATACCAGAAAAGATTTTGGTAAGTGTTGAGCATTTTTAAACCACGACTTTAAAACATCACCAACAGGTTGTGGACTATTTCACATGCACATACATACACAAACACACTCACACATAAATAAATTAGAAACCACAATTTTATATAATTATAAATTAATGTTAAAATTCATTTTTATTTTAATATTTTAAAATACTCTTTTGTCCCTGAAATATGCTAATAAAAGTTAACAAATATTTGCCTAGATTCAAAGTTTTATGGCAAATCTAAAGGACTTTTAATTGATGTATACATTAGCAGTTATTAATTGACTGGTCATAATAGACTCACCTTAACAATGATGTTTTTGTAGAAACATAAGTAGTCTAATAGTGGCATTTCTTGCAATTTTGTACAGTATTTGATTATAGTGCAAAAATAGATATGTTCACAAAATCAATAAAAGGAGTATCTTATGGAAACAAAATCTTAACAAAAATTGTTTTTCCTTTGCCTCTCAATTTTTTCTATTTTCATTGTTTAAGTGTAAATCTATTATGTGTTGTGCATGACTGTATTAATACTAAGGTCACAAATGCATCTTATTAACAAAATTTGCCATGAAGACAGCCTTGGCATTAAATATTGCCTCACAAAATAATTCATAATCCTTAATAAAATAAAACTGTTACATGAGCCAATAAATGTATTTCTTTAATTCCCTTTCCATTAATACCTTTTTTGTTATCTAAATAGTTTTACAATATTCCCTTTATTCATACATTGGAATAGAAGACACCTTATGTTCTTACACATTTGAACATAGCACAGCTCTTTGGTGTAGGTCAGTTGTGTGTGCCACATATGGTAGTGAATGTAGGTAGTGCTTGTAGGCTAGCAAGAAAAATGCTTTTTATATTATGCATTATTAAACACGTGAAGATTTTAAAATTCTACATTGCCTCTTTAGTGTCTGACTGTCAATTACAAATTATAAATATGTACATATGTAAACATAGTTGTAAATAACAGTTTCTGTAGGAAAAGAGAAAAGATTCATCTGCACCTTGGGAAAAAGGGTATGGCAACATTGAGGGCAACAGTTTTATTAGTGTTTATACCAGACTGACTAGAAAAACTATCATTATTGTTCTTAGAAATAATTGGAATTTTTAATTTCAATCATTAAAACCTTATTTCAGCCTAATGACACTCTGATAGCTCAATTTCTCAATGATGTTCCAAATTTTCTATTATTTTTTTAACGTTGGTATATTTTTACATTTTTTTATCTTCTAAAATTTTGATAAATCAAAAGTAACTTTTGTTTTTGCTGAACAAATAGAAGTTGTTCCATGGTAATATATTAAAATTATAGCAGCAGAAGTTTTATGCTTACTCACTTTTCCATAAGTCAGTTAAAAACCTGAAATAAAAATAAATTTATCACTGAAAGACCAAATTTTCAGAAAACAAATTTTTTAAAAATTTTAACATTGGTCTCTATGACTTATAAAATTACAAATAATTTATTTTATGGAGTTGTACAGTGGCATAGAGTTATGGTATGTACAAAATATAGATAAATACATGTACATAGATAGATAATCTTAAGATTGTATAGAAAATACTTTAATTCAACTAATACATTTTACCTTCTGTTCTATATCTGCCTTGATGTGGACCTTAAAAATCTCACATATCACATTCATAGAATTTAATTGAAAATTAAATTATCATTCTTATAAATAAATTATAGATGTAAATTAATTTAGTTCCAAGAGTGGTTTAATGAGTTATGGTAACACTACTATGCTGAGCTGGTACTGCTTTTCTCTTTTCTGTTATCCATGTTCCTATTTGTTCAGTTTTTAAAATGGAAGTAATATAACTGTCTAATAATTTTTTAAACTTCCATAGTTTTGTTAACAATGTCATTCATAAACCTTAGAAATCTTTTCAGGGATCCATTTCAAATTTATATCATGTTTGAGTATATGAGCCTCTTGAGCCATACCTAACATTTTTTCTTAAATAAATTATAACTCATTTGAAAAATAACACAGAAGCTACTATTTTACTCCTACTTTTTATTGGAAAGATATATTTCTATAAATATATATGGAGGGGGAGGAAGGGAGAGAGAAAAAGATGAGAGAGAGAGAGAGAGAGAGAGAGATTGTTTGTATTCCTGGTTTAGAGAACTAGTTTGCCATCATGCTATCATAGATTTTGAAACAGTACTAAATCTCTATAAACAATATTCTTTGGAATGACTGTCAACATGCCAGTGATCGGGAAAGGAAACAAGTTACCTTCTGCATTGTTAAGGTTCCTCAGCATCTACTAAGCATCTGTTTCATATGTTCCATGCCTAATACCCTCAGACACGGATCAATGAAACATGGAAGTGTTTGTTACTTAATTTGAAATCTGGGAACATATTAATACTAAAGAGATTATTGTTTTTATTCTTCTGGCACTTCTCCATGTATTTACGTATTTCTGTGGGTATTATTATATTTTTTCCAATGAAAAATATTCAGAATTTCAAGAAAATCCTAAGCAGCCCCCTGCTGCCCCATATTGCCACTTCTGTTCTTTCTCATTGAGCCTTCATGAGTACCTGGTACTTTTATGTTGTTTATCCCAAAGTATACAGAAGAATAAAATTGAAACTTGGAAAGAGTGCAGTTATTTTAACATTTGCATGTTTGGGTACTATGGACACTGTAACAAACCACTTGTAACAATGTGAACAAGATAAATTATTTAAAAAGTATAAATATTTATGTTTTAAAATTGAAAGTTGATAATAAAATATTTAATATTTATAGAATTTTGCTATCAGAATTTATATTAAAGATATTAATATTTCTGTTTTGTTTTTAAGAGTACATATTTTCATGAAATTCTAAGAAGATAGAAAAGGGATGAAATATCAATCAAAAGAAGCCATGGGAAAAATGAGGCTATTGCTAACTAAACCAAATGAAGCAGCTTCCCTTCTCCAATCCTAAGAAAATAGATAAATTAGAAATACATATGTACTCATTTCTATTACCATAAGCATTATGACTAAAATATTAAAATAGAGAATGTTTATGTGAAAGGCCTTTGGAAATAATAAGTTACTCAAAATTTATTTCTTATAAAATTATGTGTCACCATTTTTTGTTAGGGTTCTTAATAATGAACATATTTAGATCACTATGACTCTGTCTTCTTTAGTTGAATATTTATATATGCATTGTATATATAAAGAACAACTTATAAAGGTAATTTATACTCAATTTCAAATCCTCCTGTACTGTACTTAACATATACCACCCAATGTTGGAAGTAGGGAAAAATAATTTAAAAGTTTGCATAGTTTACATTTCAGTATATAGTAATAGTCCCAAAGAACATTCAGTAAGGCCTTAGCTTTGGGTTTGTGTGTGTGTCCCAGATACCTCTACAGTCTTCTGCCCAGTCTCCTGCCCAGTGTAAGACACAGGGTTGAAGAAAGACTCAAAGACAGAATTAAAGAAATATGTGGGGAGCCAGGTTGGCCAGTGCTGCTCAACCAGCAAAAACCCTCGTCAGTCCAAGCCACTGATTTTTATTGATAATCAAATTGGGGTAAAGGATAACTATGTGTGAGGATGTGCAGTCATACAGTTGCTATGGATACAAATGCAAGTAAGGCTTGTAAAGGAAAAGAAAGCATTATTGAATTAGGGACAAAATACAGGGTTGTAATTAGAACCTTATCCTTCTAGTTAAGAAGATTTTAGTTGTGGGAATGGAATTTGGGTGCGAGTTACTCCAACCTCAGCTACTATGTCATCTCATATTGAGCCCCACAGCCTCACAGGCCATTTCTCTGGCCTCTGCTGTGGCCATTAGCTGGAAGGTCATGCTAACATGTGTGCTACCACAGTGCTTGTGAGGTGTTTCTGCGAGTCGTGTAAGATTCAATCAGACTCGCTTTTTAAAATGAGCCAATTGAGGAGTGAACTCTTTACAGCCTGCCCTGCTCACACCCTGCCCTAGGCATAACCAATAGGGCAGTCTCCAACGTGTGTGTGTATGTGTGTGTGTGTGTGTGTGTGTGTGTGTGTAATTTCCAAGTGTATATGAAAGAGCATTTTGAGAAATTTAGATAAATTTATAAAGTCTACGGCATTTATTTCATCAATGGATCCAATCACACATGTAGTTCTTGTTAAACCAGCAATTAGCTTAGTAAATAGTATAGCTCTTTCAATGGCTGCATAACAAACATTAATCATAGTCATGCTTGAGTCATACATATGGTTAGGAATATTCTTTCTATATATTTCCAGTTTGTTCTTCTTAGCCATTAAATTCAGAATGATATTGCAATTCTGCTTACTAAGATAAGATAGAACATTCTTCAAATTCCAAATTTCTCAAAGGTTTTCAAAAGCTCTTTTAAAAATAATTATCTGGGAGACTAATACTTGTA